GGGGGGGGGGGGCTGCTCTTCCCCCCCCCCGGGAAAGCCAAGTGCCCCCACCCCAGGAGTAAAAATATGTCCAACAATAAATCAACTGGCACTGCCCCCCAAAAAAAAAATCGTAAGTGCCCCTTCCGGGGGGGGGGGGAATTTCTGAAATAATCACTGCACCAGATGGATGTCAGCATTCCTAATGTCTCATTAGCTTTGAAGATTCTTGCGTTGATTGACGTCTCACATTCGCTATTTGTCGTGTCCTTGCTTCCCTAGGTAATCAGGCTGTGTCAGATCTCCCAGTCACCCCAGTGAGCTGATATTCACACTGTGTCCCCCATGTCTAGTCCTACTAACGAAAGATAGACCTCGACTATCATATATTTAGGTCTTATGTTTAGGTTTTGGATTGTCTGATACCAACAAAATAAATCTTTAAAATCTTAGTTTGGAATCAAAATGACGCTCCTAGGATTCGCCTGCTACACCCGTACCAAAAGACCAGCCCCGCACTCATATCTTTATTTCATTAATTACTTTTTTTGTTCTATTTCAAATATAATAATAACGCCGAAGAGGATCTCTCTTTGAATACTTTTATTCAATAAACGATGGACCAACATTCAAATTTGTTGTAAAGTGATGGAAATAGTGAAACAAGGTGTCTAAAAGCTTGAAAAATAAAGACAGACATAAAAAAGAGAGTGTTTCTCTGTCTTTATTTTTTGTTGTGTAGAATGTTTCAAAACTAAATTCAGGTAGGTGCTAAAATGCATTCTTTCATTTTAAATTTATCAGAAATTTTCTGGAGACTATAAAGATTAAAGGGGGAGAATGAGTTTTGGCAAAAAGCATTTCATCAATGGCACCACATTTGGAGTGAATTTAGTTTATGTTGGGCTGGGGCGGAGTTAGAGATTTTCCTGGTAGTTATTATGGCTAATTTAGGCATTTCCCAACCAAAAATCTGAAATCCCCTCACCACTGAAAATTATGTGAAAGAAACACTGAATTCAAGTATGCGCCTAAATGCCTCCCTGGATTTTTAATTTGCCAAATATTCTACGGCATCCTCAATTAATATGCATGACCACCCCATCCGCCCTACTTGCAGAGGCGTAGCTAGAGCGTTTGGCGCCAGGGACATTGATTCATTTTCAACTCTGAAAACCATTATTTTCATCCATTAAATATCATCACAGCCCATCCCCCCCACACTAGTATGGTGCAATGAGACAGCTGTCCCCTCTTCCCCTTTAGCTACGCCTCTGGCACGGTCACTGCCCCCCCCACTCAAAAATGAAGAAAAGCTCACGATCTCTCCCCTCCCCCAGGAAACTGAAAGAAACACTGGGCATGTACAGGCCTATTTACCGGATGATGTACGATTTTGGCATCCCAATTCCCACTGAGGCTGGTACCCGGAACAGCCCCCCCCCCCAAACACACACACTTTTTTTAATAGTAGTGAGTTAGCAGCCAGGGACAGCACTATTTCAATGTTTCGCTATTTCCAGGTTTCACTCAATTACCCAGGCCACAGACCTCATACCACTGATACAATTCTGAGCCAATCACAGAGCTTGTTCTCCATTTATTGAAGGGGTTTCCCCTTTAACTGACATTATTTCTATCGCGGGAACTCTTGTGATGTAAACAGGAACTACTCCTTGACCCCATAAAGTTGTAGCTTGCCAGCTTGCAGCACACAACCTCAGTCTAACTGTTCGCATTGGTTGGGTCTCGTTTCTGCCATAATGCTAAATGGTATCTGATAAAGTAGATAAAGCCTTTTATTTATTTTAAATATCTTTTTATTGATCATTGATAGGGATATTCCTGAATTCCGTTTTGTCTTTAAGTGTCACTGTTTTAGCCACTTTGTTTCCATACACATGTATCGTGCATGATGCATGCACACCATACTACTACGGACAAACAAGGCGGCTTACACAAATATTTTTGTTTAAAATAAGAATAAAAGTACAGGCTGTTTATGTTGTGTAGTGTAGTAGTAGAACTAAGCCTAGTTTAGTAAGTTTATTATTATTATTATCATCAAGCAGCGTTTTTTTGTTTTTTGTTTGTATTTTTTTAAGTTTTAAAGCACTAGCAAAGATTTAATGCTATACTATAACAGTTTTAAACAATTGGAATACAGAAAAAGAACTAATTTAATTACATAAAATAATATAAATCATTATAATTAAATGGAGACTGTGGTATGTCAAGAGGTTAAGGCTAAGGGGGTATGGGGTGTCACAGCTTTAGGATGGAGGTGTGTGTGGAGTAGAGCAAAGTGTATGGGGACTTTTTTTTTTTTTAATGAAAACTAGGACATCTTAAAATCATTTTTAACATTTTTATCTCCATTGGTGCCCCGCAAAAATAATTATTTGTGATTGCAAATTGCAATGAGATTTTTTCTGTGAGTGAGGCGTTATTCCTCGACTTCAGATGTAGTCGATTTTTTTTTTGTATAAATAAAAATAATATATTCTTTTTTAAAAGTGTAGTCTTTAAACTGTAAGGATTTCAGCTCACGACATAGCAGAACAACGGTTAAAAAAAACAGAATTGTCCTGATAAAATCAGTACGAAAATTATGTAGCCTTTAGTGTGGTCACATTCTTTCAAAAAAGTGTTACGTAACAGAAAAAAACAACCTATTTGGCTCTCTCGGGATCAGTTACACATCTTGTGAATCAGAGGCTTGATAAGAGGCTGTTTATGGGACACCAAGCGGCCAGACGTTGTGGAATCGAAGTTGTGACATCGGATTACAAGTACCGTCTTCATTGTGAATTTTTTTTTCATCCGATATCGCACGCATTCAGTACATCAGTTTTTACTCTTTTAATCCCAACTGTTGCATATTTTGTTTGTTTTTTTTGGACTAACTAAATATCTGTATTTCTTTTTGTCACACCTCCGTGTACCACCTGGGGCAAATCATTATGTAATATAATAAATCTAGTGGTAGTCTGCTTGTAACACAGTTTGAAAGTCATAGCAAAATGACAGGGCCTAGGCCAGTGGTCGGAAACCCGCGGCTCTTAGAAGGAATAGACGAGTCTCTTTTTTTAAATACTAATCTGTAATGATATATGGTTTCCAAAATATTTTCTTAGCAGATATGAAAATCGTATAATTTAAAGACTCTTCAGTAAGTTACACAAGAAAGTTTTGCCGACCCCCTGGCCTAACACACATGACGATATCCTGACGTTGTTTACATTTAACTCATAAACTTATTTCGGTTGTTCATTTCGACAACATATATTGAAAAAAGCTCCTACCAATAAAAATTTGTAAAAATTTCAAATCATATCCCATCTGAGCCCATTATTAATGATTGCTCTTGGATTGTACTAAAAGAAAATAATCGAATGTAATTTCACTAATACACAGTCTGATCGCTGCTATATCCACACGCTTATGGAACCAACTTATTTGGAAAGGAAATACCACACCAGCACTTGGTGACCCAGCTGCCTAAAAGTTGAAGAGCTAGAGTTAAGGGTTTTGAATTCACTACCAAGCGATCACATTGACCCAAATAACCCACCCTCATGACATGACTCACACTCCGTACTCAAAAAATGTGTTAAGAAAAAAAAGGGATTGACAAGAAAAAAAAAAGAAAAAAAAGAAGTATAACGCCCGTCAGTGTCTTTTGTCAATCTTTTGATACATTTTAAGTTGAAATAAACCTTTGGCTACACTACCCCGGAACTGTATTATAACGTGCGTGAACTTAACCATTATCTTATGGAGTATTTAATTTATTAACATAGGCCTGACATTTATTACTTGTACATTTGTTCATAGATTCAGGTATTTTGTATATCCCATTTAAAACCCAGTGTGAACTTTCATGCTTTTGTTGAAATGTTTAATTTTGTTTGTTCTATCACTGTGATGCAATAACAGTATGTTACAAACTTTCAAAAATATCAGCTTCACAATACAAATTAATAAATGTCAAACAATAGTTTCATAAAAAATAATAAACAGAACCCTTATTTATCTTTTCAAATTTATTACAGACTGAAGCTTCAGCAACAACAACATATTGGTATTGGTAATATCACATTCGGTGCTTCCATAACAGGTCAAAATATGAACTTCAAAACATGTTACCTGGGGAGGTGGAGGGGGCAGGGGGTGTCAAAAGATTGTGGATCGTAATTGTAACAAAACAATCATCTATTTACAACAATGCAGAAACACTACAAAAATATTGGGAAATGTACAGTTTGTATTTACAATAACCATTAGGATCCACATTGGACCACTTTTGTGAAATAGCACTGCCCTAAAGCAGGATATTTACTGAGGTAACATTCATTGACTGAACTCATGGAGAATTGCTGGGACAGTCTAATGATGACTGGGGAAAATGTGGGAATACATTTTGATCTCATTTTCTTCCGAGAAATAATTGTCACTTGTACATTGCACATGTTTTCAAAATTTCTACAGAAACTATTTTACCCAGGAACTGTATTACTTATAGGACATGAATAACTTCTTAAATCAAAAAGCCATAAAGCCCCAAGCTGTCAACATTACTATCAAGTAGACTCAGTAGACATTACAAGTGATTAACAAAATTTGCACACCGTAAAAATGCCACAGTTAAATACCAGAATTTTGGTTCTTTGGCCCAACAGCTCTATATAACGTGGGGTGTCCTAAACGTTCAGTGTTATCATTGGTCTTATAAATTTTTCCAATGTCCAAATCTTATCAGAGTTTCCAAAAATGGCCAAGACTAGTCAAGAAGGTCTCAAAAGTTTTCATAAGTTCACAAAATGACCATAAAGCACAAATGTTATCCAACAACTGTATTGCCACAGAGAGCTATAATTCTTCCAACTCTGCTTTATGTTATGCCGAATGAACGTTAAATTGATGAGAAAACACACCTAACTTCTAATTTCAACAGATGGTGTTCTTGTTGATCTTACTATTCAAAACAAATCCCATAAATTAAGTTTAAAAATTGACATTTAAATGGCACGCATATTCATACCAACAAAATAAACCATTAACTATTACCAAAACAATATTTCTATTTCTAGCTTCTCTGAAACCATTCCCTTAATTGCATATCAAAGTATTCAAAGTCCCTTAACAAATTTAAACCAATAACAAAATAAAAAAATAATTAAATTTGAGTGAGAGAATGATTATTTTAGAGGAAAATGGAGATGTTAATGGCTTCATATCAGTAATAGTTATGGATTTAAACATTAACCAATATTATGTATGCGGAAGTTTTGAATATGGAGAAATGCAATATAAAAGGAAATCACGGTTTTAACAAATAATTGTTCTCTATGTCTATCTTCCAAGACAATGGATTTATATCCTGAATGTGTATTTTATTATAACTTTTCTTAAATTTAGGCATCTCAATATGTTGACATCTGATTAAAAATAGCAGCAGCATTTGAATGGGGGAAAAAGCTAATTAGGAAAAATTTCACTATCACAGGTAATATTATACAGAATGATGAACAATCAATATCAAAACATATTAAATGAATTCAATTTACTGTACACTACTCATGATATGTAGTTAGGATCCAAGAATGATTTTATCAGTATATCTGATAATGTATGTATTTACAGACAATTTTTTAATGGGTAAAAAAAAAATATATCACAAATGAATAAGAAAATGTTTTTATTTACATGTATTTACAGTAAATATTTTTTGTTTTTTGGTGGTGTAAAAGAGTGCTGCAAGGTAGATTTTTAGAAATAATTATAAGTAAAAGTGGGACTTAAAAATTAAATGCATCAGATAAAATGACAAGTACACTAAAAGGAAATAAATGGATATTCTGCAGTGGAGATAAAATATGTTGTTTTAAATATGATTATAGAGGAATTTAACTGTGAGCTAAACATAAGAAATGATTAATTACTAATTTGTGTTTGAAATACTTAAGCTAGGACAATATTATTTTTAGTGGGGAAAAAGCATTATTTTGTTAGTAGAAAAAATATCCCCCCCCCCACCCCTTACTCCACATGCACATTGTTAAATGTAAATAATTTATAAAATATTTTTAGTGGGGAAAAAGCATTATTTTGTTAGTAGAAAAAATATCCCCCCCCCCACCCCTTACTCCACATGCACATTGTTAAATGTAAATAATTTACTTGACAATTTTTTTAATAAATACAAAACGATTTGAAATTTGCCAAACTTTTTGCCAAAAGTACTTTTCAATATAGGTAAAACTGTTAAAAATTTAGCTGTGCGATATATATGGGATCAAGTAGAATTTTCAAAAAACATTTGAAACCTCATAATAGTGTAGTTTTTATTGAAAAGAAATTAGGCAAAAACAATATAGTTTACATGTTGAAAAAACCAATAAGCAACAAAAATTCTTAAGAAATAATAATTCTGAAAGTTTGTTCTTCGATCTCAATACAACAGCTACATCTTTGGATAAGATAATAGAAGACAGCTCAAAATATTTGATTCTGTGCCTCGGAATGGAACGGGCTCATGCGGATGACCGCGTCTCATTTGTAACATCATCTGGCAAATCACAGAATGTTCAAGTTTTGAGAAAATATATGCTGTCCAAATTACGTTGCCCCTCACAGCCCTCTGGGTTCACAACTGAAATATCCTTCCCCTCATTTCTTGAAAAAAAATTTAAAACTAATTTGTTTCAAGATTTCAGACCCTTTCTTTTTTCAATCAAAGGATTTACCCTCTCTATTAAAAAAATAGAAATATAGAAACTGTATTTCCTTAAAGAGTTAAACTTCCTATTAGTGAAACCAGAGGACTGTGGTGAAGGAAAATGATCAAACTACATAATCCTATGAGGTGTGCAGTGCAGTGGATGATTGTCTGGCAGTTTTATGATATATCTCAAGTCTTGATCAGATGGTGTGGCAGTGGGTAGTGCCGTGCTGGTGTTTCATGGCCGGCTGGCCACCTTTTCCATTAGATACTCTTTGTCCTATCTCTCCATACAATGTTCATGTTTTGCGACTTTTCTTGTTGATGTTCAGACCTCCATTGGTGTCACCGCTTTCCACTTTCAAAATTACAGAATTGACATAATCTGTTGTATTGCCGGCAATTCTGTCTTCTGTTGGCGGGAAAAAAATGAAACCAAATTAATGTGATAAATAATTGTGTAAGGTAAGCAATAACTTAAAATCTTGTTAAAAGAATTTAGTATTGATTCCATGTAAATCCATGGACCGCTTGCACTTTGAATACATGCCAAGAGGTTATGAGATTGCACAATAAATTTAAACTTAACCAAATACTTACTGTATGTCTGGTTGATATTCTCGTCAAGCATGGATGTTAATGAGTCTGATGGAGCTGAGAATGTCATCAGTTTGTTTTGTCCAAGGATGATCTTTGCCCCTTCCCTGATATGTGGCCAGATAAAACGTAATACTGAATTCAGCTGACCTGAAGGCAAGTAAAAAAAAATAATTAAAATCCTTAATTTTTAAAATCTTTTTTTAAATATTTAATATCCAGAGACAATTATTCCTATCTAAAAATTCATTTAAAGTATATTTACTTAAAGTACCAATAAATTTGAAAACAAGTAAGTATATAAACTTAAAAAAAAACTGGCTTGATAAAGATGTTATTTTAAGGAATAATTTCAGCAGTTTTGAAAGTTAAACATTTTCAAAATTTAAACTCACTGTGTTCTTGTTCCAATCCATAAAGCTTGATTTTGTTGGCCTCATGCTGTGCTTTCTTTTTCAGCCTGCATGCCCTTGATGCAAGTTTGTTTTTCTCCTTACGAGATTCATTCCTCTTGGCAGTTGGCACATCAGATCCAAGCTGGCAGGCATTGATCTGACGGTTGAGCTTCATCAGCTGGTGACCAATCATGAACAGTTTCCTGGGGTTGGGTGTGATCTCGTTGCCGTCCCCTTTCCTGGCCTTCCCTCCATGTCTGATTCCAGCGATGGATGTGTTGCACTCATCAAACACAGGATCTTCAAAGTCATTCAGTACATGTGGATCTGCAGGAGACTCTACTGCCAGCTTGAGGCGTGTCCCTTTTGGACCCTTTGACTGAACATTGTACTGCCAAAAGTACTGTTTCTGTTTTTTGCCAGTGGCCACCAGAGATTCACAATCTCTTGGAGAAATGCGAGCAATATCGGCATCTGTAAGGTGATATAATTGTATACATCTTTAATTACAAAAAAAAAAGAAAGTCAAACGCAACTCTGAATAAGCTTACCTTATTTGAGATGCAATTTGCTGGTGTATTCTTCATAGGCATTTAATAAATTAGTAATGAATTGTAACATTTTTTCAATTGTTGTTGCATTATCTTGTGACAAATGGATTAAAATAAACAAAAGGATGTTTAAAAAAAAATATCCTAATATGATGAAACAAGAGTGCAAGAAACTCATCATTCAATCTACAAACTCACCAATATCTGAATAGTCATCATCACTATCATCGTCATCCTTGCCACCATAGTCAGATGAGTCATCTTCATCATCTGACATGTGACCTGAGCTACCAGAGTCTGCAAATAGAACAACGAAACCAGTGTTATGAAAAGCATTTATAAAAATGGCACACAACACAACATTCGTCCAGCTTACATTTACACCCTTATTAGTAGCCACACAGTCCCAGCTTCACTCACAAACCAACTCCCTACACAGCCTTTGTATTTTTGTCTAAATATACACGGTTTGAATGTCTGCTTTTCATTTTCTTAGTACCTAGAAGAAGTTGCAATGTAACTAATGTCACATGTTTAAAAGGCTTTAATTTCTGAACTAGCTCACCGAATTAGCCAAACACAAGTAGGCCTAACTGTTGGATTATGTTTTTGACCCCTTTTTTAAAGCAACTTTCAAAATTAAACTTGGGGATTCGTTAATTACTACTAATAAAACGCACCGGTTTTCGCATTTGAGGGGTGTCATGCTAAGAACTTGGTGGCGTTTTTTGTTAGTTTGTTTTTGTTGAATGGCGTTACATCAGTGATAGAAAAAACTAGCCTAGTGCTTAAACCATCTATGATATAAAAATTGTGGTTTTTTTTTGTTAATGTTTCTTCATACATAATCCCAAATTTTTTCTGGAATTGAAGTCGAAGTCATACAAAAACGATTCTTTTTATAATAATCTTATCCTACAGTCAACAAAGTGGAATAAAAATGTATTATCGGTGCGCCACGGTGTAAGAATTCTAAAACTCAACTTCCCCACATGTTAAAATTCTGGCAGCCAGACACATGGCCCGTTGCCAGCATGAACAGCAGTCAGCTGACCTTCGTAAACATTGGACATTGGCCAATTACCTCCTCCACACCCCCTGTTCGTCTGCTGTCAGACTCACGCATAACGCCATTAGGTGAGGAAAATACCACGTCATCACCGGTGGACTTTGTACCCTCACGTGGGTAATCCCCCAGTTCTGCGGTATGTAGGCTACAAACAAGTACGCGTGAATAGAGCTCAAGGCAACCGTACAACTGCCCAATGTGAAGACTAAATTCTCGATCTTTGTTTGCCATAATATTTTACTAGTTTTTACATGAGCACATGTAGAGCCATGGCCACCACGTGCTCGTGCGCAGACACGACAAAGATAAGCTATTTATAGAATTTGCGTTTCCTTTATATAAAAATTTGAAGATTAAATTTCATTTTTTTAATTTTTTTTTTTTAAATGAGATTAAAACATCAAACCACCACCCCAAAGCTTTCTTAATTACTTAATTAACCTCTTCAGTCAGCGTCAAAATAAATCATGAAGAAATAAAACAGAAATAAACCACACAGTCACACACATTTTTAAATCATATGATTCGACATGAATAAATATACAATGATATACCGGTATATATATATATACTTATTAAGGCGGTCACCTTTCAACAAACATAAAACATCGTTTCCAAGAACAGGGAGGGAATCAAAGGCACTAGCAGGTATGAATCCCGTGTCCATCTGACACTCTCGTAATACTATTAATTGCAAAAGGTGTTTTTTTCTTCTTTTTTAATCCTATCAGTATCAGAACTTTAACACATCGACATATATATGAACTTTTCTCACTCTCCGGGACTCTAGCTGATCACAAGACACCAATGCGACATTTTTTTTTTTTAATTTGCCCAACGAAACACATTTTAAAAAATTAATTTTAAATTTACGCGTGAATGTAAACCGGAAACTTTATTTTCGGAACAAAAACATTTCCACTTTCTATACAGTAACAGGATTTTCATCCCCACCTCACGTGGTACGTGTAATCAGAGGAAGTTTAAACCAGCGGCCCTTCCATTCAACACCTTCCTAGTTCGGCCTAAATGGTCGGTCAGCCCGTTCACGGACACCCAACCTGTACAGATTATATAATAGCCTCGTCTCAACACCCGTTGTGTAGATTCTCAATGGTGGGGGAAATCCTCTTCCTCATTCGCTCAATCTGTTGCCATTGCATTTGCTTATCATAAATATCCGTATGTCCTAACCATGCACAGAAATTTCCCAACCACGAGGTTGTATTATTATCACTGGAACTCACTCATTAAATTAACTCTATCAAGTACGCGTGGCTTATGTGGATATAAACTATAATATCGAGAAGAAAAAAAAAAGATTTACAATTTAAACAAAACATTTTTTGTTTACAATTTTATACTTTTTTTTCCAAATGCAGACATTTCATTGGAGCCATGTAAACAAAAATTAAAACTGCATTGTTTAAAATTATAATTATAATATTAAATTAAAAGAAAGGGCAGAATTATTGAAACATAAATAAATATTAATATCAACATATATCAGTGATCAGCCATACATTTATATCGGCAAAGCCTAAATATGTATGGTATTTATGCACTTTGATATATAACACACGGTCTTTAAATAAACAAAACAAACACCAGCAGTGAGCAGTAGGAAACACTACATAACGCGCAATCTTTTTTTTTAATGAAGAAGAGTGAATATATAATAAAACTAAAACACAGAAAGCACACTTGTTGGATCCACATGATACAAGGGACAGGACTCCCATCAGATTACACACTGGTACGAGCTCGGTCATTCTACCTGGTCCACTCCTTAGTAACCAGCATAACGGATGTTTTCGTGACGATGAGTCCGTAACCTCTCATTGTGACCAGAGCGTTTCTTCATCCCCTTCCCAAAAAAAAATTTATTTTTTAAATGTACCTCTTTTGTGCTGGGACGGCTACACACTTCCGAAGCATACAACGGCCAGCCAAGCCCAAAAAAATTAGTCATTTACATATTACAAGAAAATACAAGTGGAAAATGCAAATATAAATTCCTGATGAAGTAGCCTATAGGCAACCGATTAAAATTTTTCCAACTTCAACCACAACCATTATTTAAATATTACCAAAATGTTTCTTTTTAAAACATCGAAAAATGATCATTCACAACAGTCTTACAAAACTTCAAAACTAAAATCGATGGAACGGTCAATCTGTTATATCGCATGCTGCATTGAGCCATATTTACCATCTTGCCGTTGCCCGTGCAACCGTAGCCAATGATTGCGCCTAGAGAACACTCGGTAATGTTTTAAGTCGTCGCTAATTTAAAAATTTCGAAGACGAGAGTATTTAAAAACAGAATTTAATTTACCAAAACTAATGGTACATTTTTAAAAAAAAATGTTTTTTAAGAAGACTTTGCTGCGAAAGACGCGCTTAAACGCACTAAGAAGTAGAAAATAATTATTTCTTTTTATTTTCGAAATGCAATATGCAAAGAAAGTATGTGTAGAATTTTTTTTTTAATTAATAAAAATTAAACATTAAATCTTCATCTACATTTAATTCGAATGCTTTGCCGGCATAGAATGCTTCCTAAACCTCTGCACCTCGGCGAGCGGGTCACGTGTGACAACAAAGTTTGATGCTAAAAACAAACTCGATGGCTGTACCAGTAGAAAGAAAGTCTTTACAAAAACATACCCATAGGTAAAATAAAAATTGTTAAATGAATTAATGGCCTAGCCGCCAGAAGGTAATGGATGCATCAAGCCAAGTTCATTAAGTTGTTTGTTTCATTATGGAGGAAGGTCGGGGTGGAAAACAATGAAAACAACCCACCAATAATAGAATATACGAGTTCTTCTCCACTGTCATGCCCTGGGGATCAACTGAAATATAGAACAATATAAAACCCCTATTGAGCGCACGTGTGTGTGTGTTGTTTTTTTCCTTCTCACACACCCCCTATCTCATCATTTTTATACCAAGGACGGTTCTCGAAATATTGAAACAGCAATAAGAACAAGAGGACTGTAACTGTAGTTTGACTCAAAGTCAATACCTATCTTTGGCATTGACCAACGAGCTGACTCAAATCAACAAGTCGTGTTCACAAATTATAACAACAGACGTCGACCATACAAACAACTTACTGACTTTTAGTAACACAGGGATTCATGATGTCAAACTAACATTTACTTTCTCATTCGTACCACACGTTCATATCTAAGACCAAGCGCGAAACTGGGGCGCAACAACAACAAAACAGACCATGTGCACGCCTACAAACGGGTAAAATACATTGGTATAGAGAGCTATGAACTACCCTAATTTCTCGTTCAGTCGACACAGTGGGCGGTGAGACGCCTACACAGCCTAGCCCTAGTCCCGGGAGACTTTGTTATCTGGGGCACTCCAATTTTTTGCACTTGTAGAACCTACACATACGATGTACATTTTAAAAAAATAAAAATTTTAAAGACTGGTAAGCTACTGCATGGCATGCAAACATCGGCTACAGTAGCTACAGCAACTAAAAATAATACACCGAATATTATAAAGGCAAAGGATCAGCAAATAAAAGTACTTTGAAATACTAACATGCCCCTTCTGCATGAACTTGATAAAGCATTACTATTTATCACTTATTAACCGTAGTTTAAAAAATAGAAAAACATTCGCCCTACGCCTGCGTATTGTATGACATTTATTTAGAGCGCAGAAAACTTGAAAAATGTTTGCAGAGCGTGTTGTGTGTGATATATCATGCAAAAATATAATTAACGATCACGTCCAGATGAGCCAAAGCAAAAATGCACTGAGAATGATTATGCATTACTGTTTTAAGCATCAGCCACATCATGCCCGCATCCAAATAAATATTGGATACATATTTCAACTGGAGAGCTTATCCTATCCAGTGGGGGTTACAACACCAGATGTTTGTAGATACTGCAAACAATTTTTTTTTTAAAATACAAGGCACCCCAACCAGCAAGCCATCTGGGTACGTGTATTTAAAGTTACATGTGTAGTCACAGTCGTCGACATATATACAAAAAAATAACTTATTGTGTACCGGTAACAGCTGTAAAAGCGTATTTCCTAAAATCTAACCACATTATGCAACAAGTATAGGTTTATTATTGTTTTAGAAATTTGTAGAAAGGGGCCGTCCATAAATGACGTCACGCATCTAGGGAGATTTTTTAATTATTTTTTTTTTGGGGGGGGGGTGTCGGTCGCACGGATTTGTGACGATGCATTACCAGGGGGTCTAAATAAAGCGACAATTTGTGACAATGGGGAAGGGGGTCAAAAATAGCGTTACGTCATTTATATAAAGCAGCTAAATGAAAAACTTTTCTTAATCCCCCCACCCACTTCTCCCCCCCCCCCCCCAACAAACCCCTCCAAAAAAAAAAATAATCCAGAATTNTAAAAAGTATGATGTATTTCGTTCAAAAAAAAAAAAAAAAAAAGATATAACTTCGTAACATTTTCACGTGTATGTAATATATCCCTTATTTTTGCAATGCACGGTAAGTCTATACTATAATGATTCATTAACGTGAGTAAAAAAAAAAAAATCCACCGAAGCTATTACAAGTACATGTAATGCCTGTTTACAGGCCTATACTTTGCTATCTAGCGCAAGCCATAACAACAAGAAAATGGAAATTATGTCAACCACGCGCACGTGATCACATGACGTGGACGTGTTTACACATTATTTTTAAAAAAAACTAAGATGGCGGAGCCGCTTTCAGCTGAATCATTCAATATCACAGGCTAAACTAGGTCATGGGTTACGACCTGCTGACTGAGAAAACAAATACCTTGACTCAAACTCCAAGGTCTCATCAATAAGGGCAACAGCCTTTGGCTCAGATTATTGTTTACAGAAAGTGTAGGCCTACTTAACAAGAATCGTTTTGCGGTATTCGACGTTTATTAAAATTACATACAGATGTTCCAAACTGGCTTACTCTTTCTTCGTTTTTTTTATATAAGGCCACTCCTAGTAGCGTAGTGTTCACTGACACACCCGATTCCCCATTTCTGACCCATTTACCACAGACAGCCCTACACGTTTTTTTTATCGTATTCTTATAATTATAAAGATGAAATTATATAGCATATTCTCAGAAATTAATTACCTATGCCTATGATTATGATTATATAATACATAATATGTCAGTTAGGGCCTATTTTTTTTATTATGGCCAAGGTTGCTTGTGTAAAAAGAATATAAACCGCATTATGAACCACAACAAGGTTTACCAAGTGAATGCATGGACTCACACGATATCGACTTGAGTTGCCATCCAACTCGTAACACCATATCGATTTTTCTCCGACCTTAGCTTTCTAAACTATGTCATATCCATATCGGTACAATGGCTGTTTGTGTGCCGAAAGGACTGGAGTGAAGCAGCTACCACTGCCACAAGTATACCCACTCTATCAGGACACGAACAAAACACCATAGGGCGTGGGTTAGTCGTTATATGTCAGGCTTTAGTTTCATGATTGATAGTAACAGTGTACAACGCTTCACATACACCTTACCTATTGTTTGCTTTCTTTATCTCACAAAACCATCTACAATATCCACACATTACATCAATATTGAAGTTACCAGAATTATGAATTTTTGTAAAATACTTTATTTTTTAATGGTGCTGGTCTAACCAAGACCAACATTACTAGGTAGTTACTATTTACATTTAAATATTAAAAAAAAACTATATGCACTTCTTTATCTCCTATTCTTTAAGGTTGGATTTCCCCCTTTCACCAGCACCAGGGAAATTATATTTGCTTAGCAATCATAAATATATTTATTATATAAATAAAAAAGAAAAATCCAAGAAACCTGGCACCCTGGCCAATGTTTCGTTTTTAAATCAGAAGATCACATAAATAAGGAGTCACTAGGTGATTCATGTGCGCATCTGATTCATTCAATGAGAGAACAATGAATTATTGAGTATCGAGCTTTAACTTGCTAAGGGGAACCCAAACTCCAACAGACGTACCCCCCTCCAACTAAAACATATTATACTAACATCATGTTCCACAACAACGGGAACCCAAATATTTGACTTAGTACCATGTGACATTGCTCCTTTAACTTTTCCATTTAAATCAATTCGACATATTTCAGAACAGTCTTATTAAATTAAGAAGTATAATATGATCATTTTTTTAGTATTCAAATTACCAGAAGATTCAAAAAGTTCACCAGAAGAGCGGTCCTCAATATTTTAATGCCACATACACATTCCTTCATTGCTAGTGCATTGTTTAAAAAACAGAATAATTTATTTTCACTTACCCCACTTCTTACCACCATATCATTGAGAACCGCTATTCTGGATTCTTCTATATCAAAATATAATAACTGACTTACCAAAACGTCTCCTCTTTTTCACAGGCTGCTCCTGCCCAGGATTGTGAATAAAACTTTCAATGTCTTTCCATTTCTCCTCAGTGGATTCTTCTTTGACCAAAGGTCTGCGTAGGATTTGAGGTGGTGACACAGGTTCATCCTTGATGATGTCAACAAAGGACCTTTTCACACCTCCTGCTGATGTGGGCACAATTTGAGCATTACCATCACTGCAGCCATCCAGGTGACTCTCTGCTGAGCCTAAAGGCTCTGACTTAATTGAAGTTTTATTGGTATGCTTGCTTAAAAGTTCATGGAGGCTTGGTGTCTGAGACTGAAGTTTCTGGAGGCTTGGTGACTGCTGTTTTCTGAGACCCTGATCAGCCTTTAACTCTGCCATCACCAACTGTGACTCATCAGTTTTCTTGACTGGAGCAACAACCCCGATGGGTGGCTGCAGGGCTCTCGGAGGAAAGTTGCTTTTGCCTTGGACCAAATTTTTAGCAAACGACTGCCCAATGCTTGTCAGGGTTTTCTGCTGGTCAACAGTCACAGTGCTATTAGAACTAACTGTTGCTAACCTTCTGGAGCAATCCCCAGCAATCTGTACAGGGCCCACAGGAAACTCGGTAAAGTTTTGAGACAAGCAGGTGAGGCTTGATGAGCGGCTCATGAGTGGTGATATGTCATTGCACAAAAAGTCCAAAGCTGAATAGTTCAGTTTGCTGTCATCCTGACCAATGCCCAGCATATTGTTGACAAAAGACATGTCTGGCTCCATGTTGAGCTGTGCAAGAGTTGGATTGTCTGTACTGTTTTCTGACACAGATGAGAGGGGGCCATCATTTTCCATCTTACCAGACCAGAAGAAGTCTGTATTAGGATTCATGGCACCAACAGCTTGCAGTGTGCTGATGACATCAGGGGTCAGTAGGTTTTGTAGTGTGCTGTCCTCTAAATTGTCATCAAGACCACACATTTCATCTGACAGAACAGAGTCAACACTGGGGTTTGAGAAGGCTGTGGAGCCACCACAACATGTGTTCTGATCTGATTTATCCATGTCATAAAGGGATGAGGATGGACTAGTAACGTTTAATAATGTACCTGGGCTTGGGACAAACATTTCCACTTTTCTTGGCGTTGAGGACTCTGAAAATGAATTTTTTTTTTAATAATACATTTAATGCAACAAAGTTCTGTGGTGAAAACTCAATTTAAATTTAGAATAAAAGCAACCAAAAAAATAAATCAACATTAAAATTAAAACGACCATAAGATAATTAGTTATTAGATATCATTATCAACTTCAACCATTGGCACTCACCTGGATTGTCATAGGCACACAAATGGGTGGAGAAAAATGGCTGTGTTGTGCCAACAGTAGAAGTAGAAGGTGTGACAGGGCACCTTGATGAAATACTAGCGTACCGGTGAGAATCAATTGGGTAAATGTTTGACAATCTTCTGGGACTGAAAACCAAACGAAATAAAAGTCTTTATAAAATCTGTTTTTAATCATGAGTCATATTATAGAATGCCAAAATTTAAAACATACTATTACTATACATTATATATAGCACAACAAAATCAAATTTGACTAATTCAAGCATAGCATTGTTAAATAATAAAAATATCTGTATAGACATACATGTGAAAACATACCCATATTTTTTCAGTGAACGAATACTTTTCAAACACTTATTATGATCTTTGATAATTCCAAGTGGTACTAATTTTTTTGACAACTGGTCGCTTTCCATTTCACTGCTCAGGCTATAGCTTATTTACTTTACTTTAGTTTTATTAAAATTAAACTTTAAAAAAAATTAAATTCAGCTTAAATTTTTAAACTTTCTAAACCCACATGACATATGGAGGTAATTGAATGTATAAATGACAAAACAGGAAAAAGCTGGCACATATTTCACAGAGGAAACACGACTGTTTTAATAATAGGATCTCACTGTTACAGTGCAATAGTCTACAAAACTATCATTAGTCATTACTATTAATAATACCGAAAGTTAATAATAATATTAAATAGGCCTTGTACTTGTTTATAACCCTTATGCAATTGCCTTATTTATAACTTGACTTAACTTTTAAGCCATGCCGGAAAAAAATCGGACAAAATATAGTTTTAATTTTATGGCATAAGTATAAGCTCCAAATTGAGTGCTGTGGATAGCTTTTAAATAAATTCACAAATGAAATGTAAGAAATGTATGATTCAAGGAACAGTGGGAAATTCCGCTAACGATAAAAGGAGTGGACTGCCCACGCGCAACATGCCTGATTCATTCCCTCGCGCCATTTGCTTCAACCACAACATCGAGGTCACCAAGGTCAATAGCAGAAAAAACGTAAACAAAGCTGAATCCCATTTTATTTTATTAGTTCCAATCCCTGCATGATAAAGCTCAAAAGAAAATTGAAACCTACGTAATGCTCGGAGTACTATTTAATAAATTAGATAGGGTAATAAAATAACCTTCAAGGGTCGCAGTATGTCTAAATTGAGTAGATTTCTATAGTAGACAGTAGAATCGAAACTTCTAGACAACCAATCACCAACACAACTACTACTACACTTACTCACTCTATCATAAATTGTTCTTGGAAGGTAATAAACACGACAAAATGCTCTGCTATTAATTGTACTTACCAACTAAATGATGAACACAAAAGTCACATATATATAATATTCAAATTTTATAATGTAATCCAATTCTCATGGAATATTGCTTTTCGATAAACGCATCTATCGCGGTCGCAACGTTGGTTTGTTTTGATCAGCTCCGTGACTCTGCAGATGGAAATATACACGCGTCAGCGGAAAATCAGCCAATGGAAGCTCATGTTAAAAATAACTCTCGTACTATTCGTCGAATTCCGGATGTGGCCGCTTCCCGATTTATGCAAGAGGTTTTTAGCTTTAATGTATGAAAACAACTGCGAAAGGAAAGACCAACAGCAAGAGGAAAATGATTGACTATGAGTAAAATTAAAATGATTTTTAAATGGCAAATAGGAATGGTTCTGGTCTATTCCAATTTTAAAATTTCTTAATTATAGATTATGACATCATATTTTTTTTTTAACGGTGAAGGTCGTTACGCGACAACAACATGTTGTTCCCCTACGTCAGAGGCATAAAATAAAAGAGGAGAACGTACTGGTTGTAGGCCGAAGACCAATGAAGAATGAGAAGATTCTGAAAAGGCGTGGACATACATTACATTCTACTAAATATGTAAATTTTTTAAATCGTTAGAAAATCTTTGATTTAAAAAATGTCTTTTTTATTATAGCATTAAAATAAGCATTAAATATTGCATGCTCAATTTTGTGGCATGTAAATTGATAAAAGGATCCCAATTTCTGATGGGTTGTTATAGATACGCCTCTGCTTGACCATGAAAAGGGGACATGAATGAACTAAATATGAACCAACCGTGAACATTGACGGGGAAGCCTGAGGGTGACTCACCGTGTGTCATATTAGACTGTATTCCATATACGGCAAATATAGTTCCGTTTAAATTTTTCAATGAATTTCATAGAGACTTAAATCGGGAACACTGCAGAAACTGATTTTTTTTAATTTTTAATCTGGCCCATGGTTATCGGATGGTAATCGATTTTTTAAAATAAAAAGTGTGACTTAATATGCATAATAACTTGTTTTATAAAATTAGAAGGGAAAATATTGCTGTTATAAACGGGTACGTGTGACGTGTTAAATTTTGCATTGTTTATTTCATTCAAACCGGTAGGACGGGAAATCCTTCTTTCTTTTTTTAACGTATTTTTCAAACTCATTTCACAATAATTTAAAACACTCTTAACTGTATAAAAAAATAATTACCAAATTACTTCTTTAAACCATTACCTTTATTTTTATTCAACTGTAATTAATAATAGTAATTCAACTCAAATCACATATCCTAGAACAGCTATGGTTGAGATTAACTTTATCACTAGAATAAATTACTTGATGTATTCTTATAATCACAACAATAATTTAAAGAGTCACGCTTTCTCAACTGCTAAAACAATTAATTAATATGGCTACGACAGCAATTAAGCCAAACGCAATTCGATGATAATATTTTTAGTATATTAAATGAGTTGTGGATGTGCTTTATTAATTTTTTTTTGTTTACTGTTATTTTGACTATTTTATTTTAAAATGTATAGGCCTATATTGTTCACCACGCCTTTATGTATTATTTTTTAACATAAATCGTGTCTACATGTTTTATATAAATGGGTGCTGCTTTTTTAAAATATAAAATGACTAAAACAGAGTAGGGTTAAACCTGAATGTGTTGACATTTCTTTTGCTGCCGACAGATACTACTTTCCCAGCTAAGTGCTATTTCTTATTTTTATTCTTATACCATTTTTTTCTGTTGTTTTGTTCGCTGACGAAGGCTTTCTGCCGTCACGATCGCTTTTTTGTTGCGTTAATTTTTTCAGGTTTAACCCTTCTCTGTTTTACTCATTTTATATTGTACTAACCTGATTGCAGTCTCTCTCCTTATTACCCTTTAAAAAAAAAAACGATATCAATTACCATTATTTTCGTTGCTGTATACATACCGAAAATCCTACCTCTCATAAATAAAACGGGGTTGCTGCACCCCTCCCCATTTGCACGGCATTGCCTTTAAGTAGTGAAACGAGGGAAAGGGGGGGGGGTACAAGTTATGAATTGAAACACAAACACTAAATTTTTTTAGCATGGTTTTAGTTGCCATATCCTGTAACGTCATCTCAATAAATTAATTTACCACACATCTGAAAATAGCTTTATACAACTTTAATTTTTTGTTTTTATTCAATGCATATAGTCATTATATAGTGATAAGTCAATCTCTTTTATTGGTGGGGGGGGGGGGGCAACGTCTAATGCCCATGGGCCAGTTTTATGCAATTTTAGTTCCCTCTTTTTTCAT